TCAAAAAAAAGACATGAATAGCTCTTAGGAGGCTTGTAGAGTGCTCCGGGAAGGGTGGGGGGCCAAAAATGAGCAAAAGATGGCCCGTTCTTTGCTCATTTCTGCCTTCCCCAGCCCCCAGGAGCTTTCTGAAAGCCTCCTAAAAGCTATGCACGGCCATTTTGGTGAAGGGGAGGAGTTTTGGGAGGCAAAAAATGCTGTACTCAGTGTATAAGATGCACACAGATTTTCAGCCTCTTTTTTGAGGGGAAAAGATGCGTCTTATACTCTGAAAAATAAGGTATATGTTGTCTTTCTATTTCAGTGTCTAACAATACTGTAATTACACTACAAAATATTAAAAAGTTTTAAAATCAAGAAATTTAATACCATTCTTTAAAATTAAAGGCTGGTAAAATTAAAAACTGATAACAAAGAAAAAATAAGGCCACCTTCAAGTCAAGCTTTACTCTCAAAAGGTATTAAAACCGCACTAGAATACTAGAAATATTCCTACCTGCTGGGACTATAACCAACTCACATAATTAGGAGCAAACTGTGCAAATTATAAGTCATGTCCCCAGGCAGAATTGAGCCTGGACCCTTTCCTTACCAAAAAGTAACCATTGCTCATTTGCTCTCAAATTATTCCATAATCAGTTTTTACTGAAATGTAAGACAACACTTATTTCCTCAATCAACATGTTGGATAACCAGGTTTAACCAACATGCTAAGCCACAACATATTTGATTTTGATGTTGTGTGAAGTCTCCTATGCAATTTGTGAACTACAATTCAAGATTAATTATGAACTGTGAACCCAGTCAGCCATGGTCCATTCAACAATCTACAATTAAGCAAATCATGTGTGAATCAGAGGCGTACCAGTCTGTTGCAATGATTCTCCATTGCAAAACTCACCATTTTGGCATCACAGCCATCAAGGAGACTAATGGGGAGGAAAGACGGTCTGAGGTGCCTCTCATGCTGAAATTCTTTAATTCTGAACACACTCATTCCTATATCTACACAAACAGTGAGGTTGCTAATAGTGAGAACCCTACTTGCATGTTGATATACATGATGGAAGAATGGAATGATGTTTGCTGCTTTCTTTTCTGTGGTCTGCCTATCTTGTCCTGGAGGCCAAAGATATGCCTTAAGTTCCTGTCCTTGGCGATTTTCCACTACTAGACTTCCATCAACTCCCTATGGGGCTCCTTGTGATTAAGGACAGCTGTTTCCTTCACTGATGCTTCCCACCCACCCCCCGCCACCCATGAAAGGAGGATGCTAGGAGGATGAGACTGCTTTTCTCCCCATGGACAGTTTGGAGAAACTACTAATCAGGATTACGATGGAGACTTCTTGAGATTCTCTATGTCCTCCATGGTTCTACTGCAATGCTTTTCAAACTTGGTAACATTAAGATCAACTAACTGGGGAATTCTGAGAGTTGGAAGTCTAGTATCTTAATGTTGCCAAGTTTGAAAAAGAGTGCCCCTACAGCAGGGGTCCCCAAATCCTGAGCTGCGGACCACCACCGGTCCACGTCATGGCAGAAACCGGGCTGCGCAAACAAGTGAAGCCCCATCTGCAGGATGCAGGCAGCACATGAAACCACACCCCCTCCAGTCCATGGAAAAACCTCTCACCATGGAACTGGTCCCTGGTTCCCAAAAGGTTGGGGGCCACTTGCCTACAGGAAGATAAAGATAGGTGAGAGTCAACAAAATGGCTGCTGGGTAATGAGGGATGGATGGAAGGCAGACGACTGTAGTGAGTTTATGAACAAATAGATATATTTTGGAGGTGAAGCTGTCACAACAAAGTGTTTGGATGACTTTCCTTTACAACAGAACTTCTTAGGAAAAGAAGTTTCCTATTGCACTAGCCAATTATAAAAGCACTTTGCAAGATATCCCATTCATGTTTTATTCACTGTTTAAACATTCTTTTTGAATTCAGTACTGATATTAGAATAGGTGCTTGATAAATGTTGAGATAACGTGTTGATTTTTTTTCCTAGTTTTTTTAAAATCCTTATCATAGTTGGAAAGAAGCCTGGAAATGAAGACGAATTGAACCTCAATTGCCAACTGTTGCTAATTCTTTTAGAGTGCAGTGAAATCAACTAGGATAGGCTGGCCAAATGCTAATATATATATATCGTCTCCTTTAATTTAGGTAGTGTTGGATGTTCTTATGTAATGGCTCTGTGCCCTGGAAATCCATGTTTATTTCCAAATTCTTTATCTGACCTTGACATTGGGTCACTTATTTTTATCTTCTGTAACAGGTTGAAATATTTTCCTAATTAATACCACTGATTCTTTCCTTTAAAAAAGAAAAAGGAAAGTTTAAAAAGGTAGTTAGCTACTGAGGGAAAACTGAATAGAAATAGCCATGTTTTCATGGATTCATAACAAGCTGGCAGGAGGCTGTCCTCACCCTCCATTTGCTAGCTACTAGTGATCCTTATTAGCAAAATTGTTTATTTCTCACCTATGATCAACTTTTTATCACCTGAGCATGCAGAACAATCACAGTTTTTTTTCTTAAGTAGGCAAGATGGTGATACAGACAAATCCAGAAGATGGTTTTCAACAAATCTGTTTATATCTTCTGATCAACAGTAATTGTGGAAATCTAAGACTTTTGAGACGCAAATAGTTACAAATTCTATTTAAAATGAATCTTTTGGAGATATGAATGCCTAAATTGTCTGAATTTAGGTGAAGGAAATATTTTGAATAAATTTTATTGGCACTTCCCAGCTATGGAATATACATTTTGAGGTGAACTTTATAAGAAGCAAAACTAGGCTCAGAGTTTACACATTTAAATCTTACTATGTTATTCATCCAAGTATTATACACAAAATGGAAAGCTTAGAATATGTATGGCAGAATGTATATATACCACGTGACTAAGAAATTCATTACTGGAGGCTTTCAAAAAGACATTGGACAATCATTTATCCGAAATGATATAGAAGCTCCTGCTTGAGCAGGGGTTGGACTAAAAGACCTCCAAGGTCCATTCCAATCCTGTTATTCTATGTTATAAAGCAAATATATGGATATTTGTTTCTTGAATGTAAAAAGTATGCTTCAATCGCAAAAATGGACTTTAAAAATATGGACATCCAAAGAGTGGACATTGTCCATTACTAATTTATATGGACTTGCTTGAGAATAAAAATGATATATTTCTACTAAAATGCCCAAAGTGTTTATTTTTTTTAAAAAAAGAAACAGAATTTCTATAGAAGACTATTACAGGGATTTCTAGCACACCTCAATTTGTACCAGCCAGGTATTGCTGATTTGTTTGCATGTTATTGAAAATATTAAGGGTAAATTAATTCAGATATGGGAAAACTATAGGAAAACATCACAGCACAATAGAAAGAAAATACAAGACAAAAGTGAGTCTAGTAAGTTTCTTTGATGTTTGTTGTGTGGGTGTATGTGTATGTAAACATCAGACACAACAGAACTTTAATTGCTTGGACAAATGAAATATTTCTTGATGGAGCCCCTGTTGGATGTCTCACAGCTTAGGGAGAAATTTTCTGTACCAAACTTAATTCAGAGTACAGTTCTTTTATGCAAAAGCCCATTCCTGACTACACAAAACTTATTTGTATTTTAGCAACCAAATTTCAATGGAAAAACCATTCTCCTGTTATTATTCTTTAATAATGGAGAATTAGAAATGTCTTAACTAATACCAAGGGATCTACCAGTACTATCCCTCTTCTGAGGTACACTACATCTTATACCACTAGTAAATTCAGAGCACCTGGCAATCCTGGAGCTAGAATAATAGAATATACAAAGGGGGGGGGGTGTCTAATTGTCAAATGTTGGATTCAACGGGAGGGGGGGAAATCTGATACAAGGGTGTGCTGGTAACAGATTTTTCCAAACCTCCAAAGAGACCCCTAAATATAAGCACTGTTGTTGTCTGCAGAGAGTATCCGTGT